TTTTTTTTTACACATTATCTCAACTAATGATTCTGCTAAATATAAACTTCAGGTTTTCAGGTGATCTATTCCTACATTTGATACCTTTTTCCTAAAAAAAAGGAAATGCCCACTGATAAAAAAAAAAAGATTTATTTGGCTTGAAAGCAGGCCCCAGTAAAGTTAGAATTCTTCTCCCTCTTCTTCTTCATCTCCCAAGCTGTCAGTGCCAACTTCCTCATAATCCTTCTCCAGAGCAGCCATATCTTCCCTGGCCTCTGAGAACTCTCCCTCCTCCATCCCCTCTCCAACGTACCAGTGGACGAAGGCTCTCTTGGCATACATGAGGTCAAACTTGTGGTCGAGACGGGCCCAGGCTTCAGCGATGGCTGTGGTGTTGCTCAGCATGCACACGGCCCTCTGCACCTTGGCCAGGTCTCCTCCAGGAACCACAGTTGGAGGCTGGTAGTTGATGCCCACCTTGAAGCCTGTGGGGCACCAGTCCACAAACTGGATGCTGCGCTTGGTCTTGATGGTTGCGATGGCCACATTGACATCTTTGGGCACCACATCACCACGGTACAGCAGACAGCAGGCCATGTATTTGCCATGACGAGGATCACACTTCACCATCTGATTGGCTGGCTCAAAGCAGGTGTTGGTGATGTCGGCAACTGACAGCTGCTCATGGTAGGCTTTCTCAGCAGAGATGACTGGAGCGTAGGTGGCCAGAGGGAAGTGGATACGAGGGTAGGGCACCAAGTTGGTCTGGAACTCTGTCAGGTCAACATTCAGCGCTCCGTCAAAGCGAAGCGAGGCTGTGATTGAAGACACAATTTGGCCGATGAGCCTGTTTAGGTTGGTGTACGTCGGCCTCTCAATATCAAGGTTCCTGCGGCAGATGTCGTAGATGGCCTCGTTGTCCACCATGAAGGCACAGTCAGAGTGCTCCAGGGTGGTGTGGGTGGTGAGGATGGAGTTATAAGGCTCCACCACAGCTGTGGAAACCTGGGGGGCTGGGTAGATGGCAAACTCAAGCTTAGACTTTTTACCATAATCAACAGAGAGTCTCTCCATTAGCAGGGAGGTAAAACCTGAGCCAGTGCCGCCGCCAAAGCTGTGGAAGATTAGGAATCCCTGTAGGCCAGTGCACTGATCCGCCTGTAAATGTTATAGTTTAAGAATACTGGAGTCAATTAATAACAAATTAAAGCAAAAGAAAGTTTATTCTACTACAAACATACACTAAGCACTCTCAGTTTAGTCTCACCAATTTACGAGTCCTGTCCAAAACCAGATCAATGACCTCTTTGCCGATGGTGTAGTGTCCACGGGCATAGTTGTTGGCAGCATCCTCCTTTCCTGTAATCAGCTGTTCAGGGTGGAACAGCTGACGGTAAGTTCCTGTACGCACCTCATCTGTAGAGTAAAAAACAGTGAGAGAAGAGCAGAATTACAGAATTAGTAATGTTGAACTACCTTAAACAGCTTTGTTTTGAAATGTTTCCACAATTATAAATATAATCTTTGTTCAGGTAATTATTATTTGGTTTATCATGTACATAAATGATCTTTGATTGGTTATTAAAAATGATAATAATGCAATTTTCATGTTTTATTTCCTGTTAAAATTACTTTAGAAAAGTTAAATTGTTGGAATTTGTTAATAATAAATAGCATAGATACATAAAAATATTCAACCAATGTAATATACCATCATTATCTGTAACTGGCACTAACCAATGACAGTAGGTTCCAGGTCGACAAAGATGGCTCTGGGAACATGTTTTCCTGCCCCTGTCTCACTGAAGAATGTGTTGAAGGAGTCATCTCCTCCTCCAACAGTCTTGTCTGAGGGCATCTGTCCATCTGGTTGGATCCCATGTTCCAGGCAGTACAGCTCCCAACATGCATTGCCCATCTGAGCCCCAGCTTGGCCCACATGAACGGAGATGCATTCACGCTGCAGAGAGTGAGCAAGAGTCTTCAGTTACCACTGATCCCTTTTCAAATTTCTACCTGAAAATACTTGGAATGCAGTTGTCATATCAAATTCTACCGATGGACCGATGGAGATGAATAAATACCTAATACAAAAATAAGACAGCTTAAAAAAGATTACATTTCATAATGTTAATCAATACAGTAGTATGCAATTTGGTTTCACACCAGTAACTCTGACTTACCATATTTTATTTATGTGTGTTTTCCAATGTGCAGGTATTAGTGGGAAGGTGTAGCACAGAAGCAAGCTATGATACTCTGCTCTTATATACCTGCAGCTTACAGTGAGCAGTGATTTGATCTGAGTTGTAATCAGAGACCCTGCTGATGAGACCAGGATAAAATCTCCTATTTGACAAATGTGCACACAATGCAACAGGAGGCCACCACCCTATTCATTGTATGAGCCTCTGAGTGCTTTGTACTGGTGTGTATATGCACCTCAAATTTCAGAAAGAAAAAGCGCAACCCGGAATGAAGGGAAGGTAACCTAGTGTCGTTTCACTTGGCAGTTTTTAATGGCTCCTTTTATAGTGTAGTTTATGATAGGATAACAAACTCCTACAATGTCAAAGAGCCGTGTACCCTAATTTATGTACTGTATTAATTTAGAATATTTAGAACTGAGGTATGATGGAAACAATACTTTCATACTGTCATGTTGCTTTTGTTTGCCAAGCATGCCAGTTTCCCACAAGTGTCAGTATTTATTAAACAATACACAGTATATGAGACCTGCTCCTTCCCTCTCAGTTCATCATCCTCTTGGGAGAGTACAGAGAAACTGAATACATGTGAATCACTTAATAATGCACCAGCTGAATAAATGGAGTAAACAGCAAATGCCGGCCAGAATCATGCTTAGGTGCTATTGTTTAGATTTCTAAGCCCAGAAAGTATTTCATAACCAACAGGTTGTGTAGTTTACATGTTCACAAGTCAATACAACATGATAAGTCATTGTGGCGGCAGTGGAGTAGCTGCCTGCTTCAACTGGCAGGAATAACATAAACTGTTGATATACTGTAGCGCCATGGCTCAAAGGCAGAATGCTCTGTCTGTTATATTTCAAACAAGTCCGACAACTTTCAAGACCAACAGGCAGCCACTGTTCAAACCGTACAGGAATGTTAATTAAGTAAAACATCCTGTTTTGTGATTAAGAAACACTGAGGCATCACCATCTTTCTTATAGCATGCATTTTTTAAAATCAAAAATGTAGTGGATGTCAGTCGAACGTTACACCAAGTAAACACTTAGATACTCACTTCACACTTCTTTTATTGCGAGCCAACCAGGGTGACTCTTTGGCGATGGCCAGGAAACTCAGAGTGGTGCCTCAGTGACAGCTGCACCACTATTCATTCTGAGGTTAGTTCCTCTCCTGAGGCTGTGAGACTCATTTGTAACAAATAAAGTAATTGATGTTGGTGGACAACACCACACAAAGCACTGTGGTGTCAGTTGTATAAACTGCCATTATGTTTTAGTTGCATATCACTGCTAAGTGTGTTTTATTACTTTGCAGACAAGATAGGGATGATTATACAATGTAAATAATTATTATGTACTTTTACATACAAATAGAAATGCAATACAAAATACAGCAAATATGATACCTTGAATCTTCAGGTGTAATTCAAGTTGCCGAACTGTTAAAAGGCACTGGGAAAACCTACATCTCACTGTTGTCTTCACTCATGTTTTGCACTCATAGGTGTTGAGTGAATCATAAAGCTATGACCCACTTCTACTGACGGAGAGCAAAGGTCCTCAATGTCCCATAATTAAATCTTTTCAGTAATGGGTCATAAAAATGCCTGCCCTGAAAAGAAAGAATGAAAGAGGTGAACAAAATGAGATGATAAGGTCATTTGCAAATTCAGTAAATTACGTGTCACTTACAGTATGGTATATAACATAGTAAATTAGAAACTTGCAATCCCAATCTACACAATTACACAGGGTAGCTGAAGACATACAAAAATACAAACTACACAAACACTTTGCAGGACCCACTGTGGTAGTGAAAAAACGGACTTCTACACACGCCCGTCACTGCTGCTTAACTCACTCTGTGACTCACGCTAAAGCAACTACGACCTCTAGCTTTCAAAAGGTTGCTGTGACAGCATCCATTGTTTGTTCCACATTCAAAGAAATCAACTGCATAGGCCTGACCCTCAAAATAGTCTTGGCTGATTTGACTATTAGAGTATTTTTAAGAACATTCTAAATGCATAATGAATATACTATATTTTCAGTCAAAAAATAGAAATAAAAAAATCAATCACTGTAAATTTTGTATAAAATAGATGGAATGAACAGGATTCAATTTTTGTGGTCTCATACATGATGGGATAGCCTATATATAGAAATTAATGCAAAATGATGAATATACATAAAAATGCTCTGATGAACAGTGAGGATGCATCTACTGGTATAAATTCATTCATTCATTTTCTACTGTTTGTTCCCTGAGCGGGGGGGAGCCAATCCCAGCCGGCAATTGGGCGAAGGCGGGGTACACCCTGGACAGGTTGCCAATCCATCGCAGGGCTGACACATAGACAAACAACCACACACACGCACATGCACTCCTATGGGCAATTTTAGAGACCACACAATCAACAAGCTGCATGTCTTTGGACTGTGGGAGGAAGCCGGAGTACCCGGAGAGAACCCACGCAAGCACGGGGAGAACATGCAAACTCCACACAGAAAGGTCCCAGGTGGGGCCCGAATCTGGAACCTTCTCGCTGTGAGGCAACGGCGCCAACCACTGTGCCACCGTGCTGCCCCTACTGTTATAAATGATTAATATAAAAAATAGAATGATTCACTAATTACCCAGACAATTCATTGAAAATGTGGAGATGACTACAGTATTACAAGAAAGTGAGACTGGATTTAAGCAGGTGCAAAATATAATAAAAATGAGCCGACTATGGCATAATTTTTTTAAATCCCAGTTTATAGTTTTAATGCTTTGAGTCAAAAGTAAGAAAAGGCAATGTGTTTTAGGAGAAGATTTATTGAGTGACAACACAAGCTTCAAACTTATAAAAATTTGGTTATTGTGCATCTTTTACTGTATTGGTAAAACAAATAAATACAGTAAACATATTAAAAACTGCCAAAGAAGCTGTAAATTGGAACATGATGGGATAAATTATTTCAGACTTAGGTTTTTTTAAATTAAAAAGGTCATATTTCTGAGTTTGAAACCAAAATACAGACTTTTTTTAAAAAGAAAAAAACAATTTGTTACTGCATATAAACGGCAAATGACAGCTATACTTTTCTAATATTCCTCTCCTTCTTCTTCGTCTTCAAATGAGTCAACCCCCACTTCCTCATAATCCTTCTCCAGAGCAGCCATATCTTCCCTGGCCTCTGAGAACTCTCCTTCCTCCATCCCCTCTCCAACGTACCAGTGGACGAAGGCTCTCTTGGCATACATGAGGTCAAACTTGTGGTCGAGACGGGCCCAGGCTTCAGCGATGGCTGTGGTGTTGCTCAGCATGCACACGGCCCTCTGCACCTTGGCCAGGTCTCCTCCAGGAACCACAGTTGGAGGCTGGTAGTTGATGCCCACCTTGAAGCCTGTGGGGCACCAGTCCACAAACTGGATGCTGCGCTTGGTCTTGATGGTTGCGATGGCCACATTGACATCTTTGGGCACCACATCACCACGGTACAGCAGACAGCAGGCCATGTATTTGCCATGACGAGGATCACACTTCACCATCTGATTGGCTGGCTCGAAGCAGGCGTTGGTGATCTCAGCAACTGACAGCTGCTCATGGTAGGCTTTCTCAGCAGAGATGACTGGAGCGTAGGTGGCCAGAGGGAAGTGGATACGAGGGTAGGGCACCAAGTTGGTCTGGAACTCTGTCAGGTCAACATTCAGCGCTCCGTCAAAGCGAAGCGAGGCTGTGATTGAAGACACAATTTGGCTAATGAGTCTGTTTAGGTTGGTGTATGATGGGCGCTCAATATCAAGGTTCCTGCGGCAGATGTCGTAGATGGCCTCGTTGTCCACCATGAAGGCACAGTCAGAGTGCTCCAGGGTGGTGTGGGTGGTGAGGATGGAGTTATAAGGCTCCACCACAGCTGTGGAAACCTGGGGGGCTGGGTAGATGGCAAACTCAAGCTTAGACTTTTTGCCAAAGTCAACAGAGAGCCTTTCCATCAGCAGGGAGGTAAAACCTGAGCCAGTGCCACCACCGAAGGAGTGGAAGACCAGGAAGCCTTGAAGACCAGTGCACTGATCAGACTGCAGGTACAGAAAAATTATTTCAAAAACCATTAAGGCAACAAAGCATTGCTTTGTATAATTTATATAAATGCTTACTGTATATTGCTTTAAATTACAACACTAATCTATGTTACCACTATTATCTTCCTCAATAATAGCATACTTTATAAGGATAGAGGGCTACAGGAGCCCTTTTTTTGGCTGTTGACAAAGTCGCCAACACTGAATGTACACTGGTGTGACTGTTGGAGTTCAAGCTCGTGTGCAGGTCTGACTGACACACATCGATTTGGCAGGATGATCTCTGCTTGACTGAGCATGTACATCAAAGTTTTCTTTACATAAATCCATGAAACTGATGGGCTAATTGCACAGAATCATGTTAAAGAACAAAACTAGTGTGAAATAATGGCTACCCTAGAGCGCCCTACCAGTTTGCGGATCCTGTCCAGAACAGGGTCAATAATCTCCTTGCCAATGGTGTAGTGTCCACGAGCATAGTTGTTGGCTGCATCTTCCTTTCCTGAGATCATTTGCTCAGGATGAAAGAGCTGGCGGTATGGTCCTGTGCGCACTTCATCTAAAATTTAAACAGAAAAGAGTTGAGAAAACAAATTTACTGCATCAGTTATGATTATAACAAGCGCTATTAGAGGACAAAGCATTTAGAATCATTTTATAGACTCATGTCAATGTATAGCAGAATGATGGATATACAGAACAGTTTGTCCACTCTCTACTTTATAACATTACTGACCAATGACGGTGGGCTCCAGGTCAACAAAGATTGCTCTGGGGACATACTTCCCAGCCCCAGTGTCACTGAAAAAGGTGGTGAAGGAGTCATCATGGCCTCCAATGGGTTTGTCGCTGGGCATCTGGCCATCCGGCTGGATGCCGTGCTCCAGGCAGTAAAGCTCCCAACAGGTGTTCCCCATCTGGACACCAGCCTGGCCTACATGGACAGAGATGCACTCACGCTGCAACAGAAGAAGAGGAGAGGCTGAATACGGGGGGAAAACTGAGGAGAGAAGTAGCAAGGAAGGAAATACCATAAGAATTTATTTGTTTCCAGTGAGTTACGAGAGCATTAAACATTGTGAAGACCGTCTGCATTTGCTTTGCTATTGATATGAATGGCAAAATGTCAAAAATACTTATCACATTTTGCAAATAAAAGCTACAGCTGCAAACTCTAACAAAATAATTAAATAACTCTGCCACAAGGTGGAAAAAAAGGCATATACAAAGAACATGCAGAACAGATTAGCTGCAGCTACCACCGGATCTCATGCAACTGTACAGTATGAGCAGATCTTATGAACTAAAAATGGAGGTCAAGTTTAGAGAACTGAGCATTTAATATTTATGCTATGAATGCGACCTAAATAAAAAGACACCAGGCTTTCCTCAGATTATTTATAATGCTAGTGTCATTGTTAAATCCAAGATCAACTGGGGAAGAAGAACACTGGACACAACAGGGGATTTATGATTTTCACTGTACTAACTGGGGCTCAGACTACATTTATGCAGACTAAGTTTATATAGACTGAGACAAAATACATGCTTAACATGTGCCACTCATCTGAAATGGTACCATTTACACTACATACAGTGGAAGAGCAGCTATTCCTCTTAAGGAGGGCTGTTTTTTTGGATCTGTGTGGCTGCTAAATTTCATAATGTTCAATTTACATAATATGAATCTGAAACATCAAGCCTTTGCATTTGAAAAGCTGTAACAAAGAATACTTGAATTTTTATTGCCACACAATGCACAGAGCAATAGAAAGTATCTTTCGGCTTTTCCTGTTTTGGGGTCACCACAGTGAATCGTTATACTGACGATTCGCATGTTGACATTTGGCACGTGTTTTACGCTGGATGCCCTTCCTGACGCAACCCTGACTCGAACCACGGGCCGCAGCGGTGAGAGCCTTAACCACTAGCCTACCAGGGACAGCTCAATGATAACCATATTTCCATCCTGCTTAATCTCAGGCTATTTATATCCTTCCGCAATAACTTCCCCCTTTTCAATGATGAGGAAGGTGCTGGGAGGTGAAGGATGGGATGCAGTGGGAGGAAAAGGTTTACAGAACTTTGTACCATATTAAAGTATTTTAAATCTCACTAAACCCATACTGACCGATAAGAATTTCTAGATGAATACTAAGGTGACCCTTCTAGACTGGTCATGTTTTCCAGGTTAGCAGATCTCAGTGAAGCATCTATTTTAGGGCCCTCATGAAAACCTGACACCTAGCAGCAAATGCTTACTGTTTCAGCAAACACTGACAGGCACTCCTCAAAACAGTGGCTGCTACCAAGTTGCATTTTGCTCCTAAAAGTGTTCTGCTATGTGTAAATGTGCAAAGATCTTTACTGATAAATAATAAATACAAAGGCTATACATTTTGTTTTCCATCTGACTTTATTTGAATGCCACAATGGTATTTTTGCTGCCACAAGAGTGAGTTCACAGTAGTGAATTCAGAGCTAAACTCAAAGACAAAGAGCTTTCAAACTGTCAAATTTCTCCACTCCCTAAAACCTGTCAGGGTGTGTCTGCACAATATGTCACCAAACAGAGATCTCTTAGCTGTCCATAATTACAAGTGATAATATCAAACACCTTCAAGCACCCCATGTGAATTATAAACTTTGTAAACAAAGTAATTTCCAGAATGCCATGAAATTTGACATGGGCATAATGACTGAATACAGTTTAGTCTTTCCTATAGCACTGATACAGTCTAGCTCAGTTGGTGTGGACCAACAGGATAAGCCCCTTGGTGGCAGACTATTGCATTCTACAGCCTTGTCCCATTAGGTTTCTGTAGCTAAAATGTCACATGTTTAAGATGGAAACTTTAGACCAAACTGTTCATTAGGTGCAACAGAACAAGCCTAAAACCACAACTGCACACGCAATATACAGTAAGTTTAAACTGTTCATTAGGTGCGACAGAACAAGCCTAAAGCCACAACTGCACACGCAATATACAGTAAGTGACTGGCTGTTATGACATGCGCTGAGCACATTCATGCTTCCAAGGTAAGCCTCTCATGTCAATTGTGCCATCACAGTGGGTTTCTTAGTTATCCAGGTGAAGGTAAACCTGACTTACTCCTCTATGTGCTACTGTAAAGCACTAGTAATATAGAAAAAAAAAACAGTGGAGACCCGTAATCCAAAATATGACTTTGACCACAGGTTTGTAGGTCTTAACTATGCATATTTTCCACATTCATCCTTGATCTAATTCATTTATTTTACTCTTTTCTTTATGTATATACTCTATACTAGTACTACAGTCACTCGGGTTAATAACAGTTTAATACTAGTAATACAGGAACTTGGGTGGATGGCTCAGGGCTATTTGATCAAGGTGTGTATACTGTACTGTAGTAGTTTAGGCCACTGAGGACACAGCACTGTTTGGATTTTATAAGCGGTAGTGCTAACAAGCCATGTTTATACTACACTGTGCAAACAGAACTCAAAGTGTGTGTGTGTGTGTGTGTGTGTGTTAAATGTCCCAATACAAAAGCACAAGACTAACCATGATCAGTCACAAGGCTAACAGTAATATTTTTTTTATTCAGACAGTCTCCATTTCATTTGACAGCGATTATATATA